GCCAGCCATGATCGCCACTGGAGGCCTCCTGAGGATCTCGGCTAGGAAACAGGACCCCTTGCGACCCCAAAGCCAAGTCCCCAAACGCAAACGCAAAGCCAAAAAGAAGCGCAAGAACGACGTGGTGGTGGTGAAAGGCAAGCTCAAGCTGTGCTCTTTCTCGGGGCTCGTCGCCCTTTGTGGCATCCTGATACTGCTGGTGGGCATCGCCTTGGCCGTGGTGGGCTACTGGCCGAAGCCCAGCCAGGTGTACAGAGAAGGCAGCTTCAGTGGGGGCCGGCACCTGGCACCGCATGGTGGCACCCCCAGGAACCACTCCCGGAGCCAGGAAGGGGCACAAGCAGGGATCCATCCAGAGCCACCCGCCAGAGCCAACACTTCCACCACTGCTACCACGCGAGGGTCCCCACAGTCCCCTCCCACTTCCTCGTCCCCCCAGGCCTCGGTGGGTTTCCTTTTCCATCTTTTCTCGAGCTACTTGCATTCAGACAAGCTGAAGGTGCTGGGTCCCCTCATCATGGGTATCGGCATCTTCCTCTTCATCTGCGCCAATGCGGTATTGCACGAGAACCGTGACAAGAAGACCAAGATCATCAACCTGCGTGACCTCTACTCCACTGTCATCGATGCCCACAGCCTGCGGGCCAAGGACAGAGGCACGCCGGCCTCAGCCCCTCTCAACGGCTTTGTCAACTACGTGCAGTCCCGGGGCCTGGAGCTAAAGCCTGGTGGTGAAGGCCTGGGTGCTGCGGCCATGCTGGCCAAGAGCTCCTGGCCACCAGGACTGGGTGTCTCCCTTTCCCCACCGGACCTGGCATCGTCGCCACGCCGTTCCTCCTTCTGCACAAGGACAGAGGCACGCCGGCCTCAGCCCCTCTCAACGGCTTTGTCAACTACGTGCAGTCCCGGGGCCTGGAGCTAAAGCCTGGTGGTGAAGGCCTGGGTGCTGCGGCCATGCTGGCCAAGAGCTCCTGGCCACCAGGACTGGGTGTCTCCCTTTCCCCACCGGACCTGGCATCGTCGCCACGCCGTTCCTCCTTCTGCACCCCGCCGCAGCCGCCCAGCCTGGCTGAGGCTGTGTACAGCATCTATCGGGAGCGCCCTGCCCTGGCTGGGCCAGCCGGGCGCCACC